CAGGGTGGATACTCAGAAGGTTGAGTATAACAAACTTAATATAACAAAGTATTTATTACACAGCTTGACAATTAACAATGAGACAGATACATAGGAATGCTAAAATCCAACCTATAGAAATTGCACGTCAACTGAGCATGAATCATATAACAGAATATCTCATAAAAAGCCACTAGACCAGACGTGTTTCAGCTCTAAGAGCTTTCTTCAGTGGCCTAAAGCGTGGTGTAGTAGTGGTTAAGAGCGACAGATTCTAATCTGGAGAACTGGGTTTGATTCCCCACTCCTCCTCCACACATAGCCTGCTGGGTGACCTTGGGTCAGTCACAGTTCTCTCAGAGCTCTCTCAGCCCCACCTACCTCACAGGGTGTCTGTTGTGGGGAGAGGAAGGGAAGGCGATTGTAAGCTGCTCTGAGACTCCTTCAGGTAGTGAAAAGTGAGGTATAAAAACCAACTCTTCTTCTTTTTCTTAAAACAAATTGTAAAAATTAAGGACCAGGCAGGTTTGTAGTATTTCAATATGAGGGTAAGCTCCATGTGAAAATCAGACCTATATATAATTGTGAGCCAGCCCACAGTCTCTCTCCAATTATTCTGTCTCTGGCCAAGAATCCACCATCTCCGTGTGTGGCCCTTAATTTTTACAATTTGTTTTAAATGTGTGCTATTTGGTTTTAGGCCACTGAAGAAGGCTCTTAGAGCCAAAACATTTCATCTGGTCTAGTGGCTTTTTATGAGATATTCTATTATGCAATTCATGTTCAGTTGATGCGCAATTTCTATAGGTTGGATTTTAGCACTCCTATGTATCTGACTTGTTTTTAATTGTTAACTGTTTCACTGTGTAATAATTCCGTTGTTCTATTTTTAACTTTGTTATACTCAGCCTTCTGAGTACCCACCCAATTTGAGCAGCAGCACAAGTCCTCTCCCAACCCCACATCAATCTGCAATAGTATAAATGGCCCAAACCACATCTGAAGCTACTGCACACTGATGGCTTACCATGAGTAGTTGCTGCTGTGCAGTCACAGTTCTATGTGGCCATGGAGATGGTAGGGTACAGTGCCCTTAATATAGAGCAGAAAGAGGGCCCGGAGGCTCACATTTGCATTTGGGAGAAGGTACTTTATATAAACTGTTTATATAAAGAACCATTAATTTTGTTTCAGTTAGTCTGTCATGGACTAGAGAAGGAGGACTATGGTAAAGACTCTTGAGAATTATATAATGAGTAGTGCAGCAGCCACAAGTACAGCCCCATGTGAAGATGGTGGTTCACATAGACTGCCACCTCTGTAGTGCAGCCAAACTACAAGTCCAGTGGTGACCCCCCCCCACACACACATATTCCTAATATGTCTGGAGGCAGGCTGCCTGCAAATATGAAATCACCCTTAGGAAATAGCTTGTACTTGCATTACATTTACCTGTGTACCGTTTGCATTTGATAATAAAACAGTAAGATTAGCAACAACTGTTTCATTCTGATATTTACATATATTTACTATGTGGTCACAAAAATACAACTCTTTTGTGCTTTCCTCAGTGTTTCATTGGGCTCTGCCCACCCAATAAACAAAAACAAAAAACCCATACCTGCGCTGATAGTTCAACTATTTGCAAGACATTCAGGTACAGAACTCTGAAGCATGCACAGGATGGTATGCTGATTATTACCATCTTATAGCTCTAATCATGTTCTGTCAGTAAATACCACAAAATATATGTTGCAGCTCCTACAAAAAAGCAATGGTGTCTGGTCTCCAGATTCTACAATAATTTTTCTTTTTTGTTGTTTCAAACATGATTAATAAGGGTGGTATTCTTTGAATTTAAGAAAACACAGCTGCAAGCACATACTGGTATTAAGCATGCCAGCATTTCATTGCAACAAGGTGTTTTTGATTTACATTTTTATCAATTAAGCTGTAAACAGTGTTGGAAACAGTTAAACTTAAAACATGGTTCACAAATGGTAGGTGCTGCTAGAGTGAAAAAGTTACCAAAACTACACAATGGCTGGAGTGTTGGGCTTTCAGAGCATGGAATCTATAGATCATGGGCTTTTTAAATAGAGTCTAGCACTCCCTTATGAAGGTAATGACAAATTTAGCAGAAGGCTAGAGAAATGACAAGTATCTAAAAACTGGTTGATGGATAAGAATCTTAGCCATCCCATTATTCATATTTTGCATTACAAAATGAAAATCTTAGCCATCCCATTATTCATATTTTATATTTTGCATTACAAAATGAAAAAATAAAGCATACAATTCAGTATTATCCCAATTACTATTCCAGTGTGCTATAAATTAAGTCATTTGTTTTAAAAAGTTGTGCCATCGCATATATTCTTTTACTCTCCCATACTGTGTCAGTTTAGCTAACAATGCCATGGTCTAGACACCTTTATAACACTTTTACCAACAGCACTCTTCCTAATCCCATTTTATATTGCTACTAAACTTGCCTGGGTGGCTGGGAGCCTAAACATTTGAGGGTTTTTGTTTGTGTCTTGCAGTGAGTAATTTGAAACTTCTCCACATTTGCAGGTCCATGCCACTGTGGATGTTCCTTTGACTCAAGCAAGTTGCACAGAGTCCAGGTACAGCCTGTGTCTCAACTGTACAATATCAGACTACAGGTATGGGTTTTTATGGTGGAACATTCTCCCTCCCCCAAAGAAGATTCCTATTTATAGAACACTAGCACAAGTCTAGGGCAACATCCTACTCTCTGACACCTGGTCTTCCAGGTGCACAACATCTTTCTGGTAAAAGGTAAAGGTAAAGGTTCCCTTGCTCGAAAGCCAGTCGAATCCGACTCTAGGGTTGCAGTGCTCATCTCCGTTTCAAAGCCGAAGAGCCAGCACTGTCCGAAGACGTTTCCGTGGTCATGTGGCCGGCATGACTAACCACCAAGGCGCACGGAACGCTGTTACCTTCCCACCGAAGTGGTACCTATTTATCTACTTGCAATTTCTTGCTTTCAAACTGCTAGGTTGGCAGGAGATCTTTCTGGATGGAGGGACATTTAATGATATGAGCTCACCTGCAAAAACTGAGCCCATTTTTTGGGGTAGGGCGGGGTATAAATTATATATATATAAATAAATATGAAGTGGTACAGTCCAGAAACAGGACTATCACTTCATCTGGTATTTATGTGAACTCTACTATGGTGCCAGTATCTACAGATTTGGGTATAGTGTCAATTATATATGCTAGTTATGAAAAAGCAAATATGCAGAATTCAAGCAACTGCATGGTCTTTGATGGTGGTACTGGACAAAAGCACCACCAACTATGAAGCAAGTGTTCTCATGCCTGTTTCTAATATGGCATTATAGCTACTGGATGGGAGCACTCCCATCTGGGATATGCTCGTGCAGAGGGTATGTGGTCCACTGACGTCCAAAGATTTAAAGATGGCTGTAGCTAAAGAGCTGCTGATGCTCTTGCCACTGTCCCCTTTCTCCCATTGCTAGTCTTGAAGAAATCTTTAGAAGTGAGCTAAGATTTGGTCTGTATTTTCTGAACATCAAATGCATCACAGTGGGGGGGAGGGATTGTCATGTCATCTTGGCCCTTCCTAATGAAGGCATCAAACGTTTTAAAAAGCATAATTTAACATCGAGTCCAATGAGAGAATTATTCTTAATGGTGCCTCTGATTTGTCTTTTAACAAGGCATTAACATCTACTTATTATGTATGCTAACAACAAGGAGGGCAGTACGTGTGTCATTAGCAATAATCAGCCACTGTGCCAGACTAATCTTAATAGATCTCAACAACAAAAGCCATGTGCTAGCAAGGTAGAGATAAACCATAGAACAGGCTTTGGACAAAACCCTGAAAAATCATAGCAAATGATATGCACAAAAAAGCCTATTTTCTTATTCATATACTTCCTTTACTATGAAATAGAAAGAGCTGCAGGGTACAGAATATGTTTTTGTTTTGCAAAAGATAATCTTCACAGTTTGTAGCACTACTGAAGTTTTGATACCAACTGCATCAATGAGCCTGCCATTTGAAAAATGGCACTGGAGCCAGCAGATGTGTCCGTCTGGTAACTCCTCTTAATGCACTGCAGTTTCTCAGCAACACTTTCAAGTATGGTCAGTGTTGTTTTGCTAAAACAGAGGCTATACACTTTCCCCCAAACAGTTCCACAGAAATGGTACAACCATACAAAGAAGAGATGATCAAGTGGGTTTTTTTGTTTTTTGTTTGTTTGTTTTTTGCAGTAGAGTGTCTAGAAATCTGGACTATTTTTTTAAGCACTCATGGCTAGTCTTAGGATGAGAAGAAGAGTATGAGCATAGATTTCTTTACAGCCAAACTGGTTTTGAGATGGTAACGTTGTCTCTTTACAGTAATATTTCTTATCAGATGAACATTTTCTTTAGAGAAAATATACACTGGTAGGTAGCAAGGGAAGAGACAATAAAAGCTCCTTTGATAATCAGTGTATTGTTCTGAATGTCTATCTTTTGTACTTTTGTTTCTTCTTCATCCTGGATGTGAATTAGGAAAACATGTCTGCCTGAGAAACATAAATAAACTCATGGTTCTTTATTATTGTTCATCTCTTTGCGTAATATGATCAATGCCTATGTAACTGAAACACAGATGATAATTATTCAATAGTAAGTCCATCTGCCATGGTTTGGGAAACCAAACAAGCAGTTTACAAAATTCTATTTTCAATGTTCAAGTTGATCTTTTAGGTAGAATGTCCTTTGGTTGGCAAATGTATAAGCAACAAAAGATTACAGCAAAAAAGGACCTACACAGAAAGATTAGAGAGGTCTTCCGAGTCTTCCCTCAGTATTCAAAGGCCCACTGAAATATGTGGCTTTGATTTTTTTTAATTGAATGTGATAAGAATATACAGAGAGAACATCATGATTCCAAGCTTTAACTAATTCTAAAAGAAAAGCAAGTTTCAGAAATCAGTGCTACTTAACGTTAGCCATTTGGAAAGGTTACTTCAACACTGGCCATTTATGGGGTCTAATATGTTGAATGAAATTTGCGTTGGACTCATTTGCTGCAACTGAGGCATTCTTGCTTCCAAAGTTTTCTCTGTGGGTGATCCTACTGACTGGTTCCTTTTCCGCATCATTTGTCCAATACCCATCACTGGGAATCGGCCTCTGCTTTTCACACAGTTAGGGCTCCCCAGGGGATTAGAGGTGTTATTTAGTTGGGTTGGAGACACAGCTTCCTCTCTAAAAGAACTGGTCTTTTCATCATATGTGAAAGACAGTTGAGTGGGGTGAACTGGACTTTTAGTAGGACTGGGAGAAGTGCCTCCAGGCTGGAAGAGTGGAGACAATGTCCTTTCACTGGAGGTTCTGCGACCAAAATTTACCGGTGAGCTTAGGACTCGATACTGGTGACTGGGAGACAGTTGGTCTATTTGGTCCTCTCTATCACCAGTTTCAAAAGAATGTACAATGTTCAAAATTAAAGGAGAATCCAAATTCTGGCTTCCAGGGCTTGAAGGCTCTGGTTGAGGGGAATCTTGACGCTTTGAGAGTCTTGGAGTTCTTGGGATAGGTTGTTGAATTTCCAAGTATTCCAAAGAATAGGAGGTAACACACCCTGTCTTGGCTGTTGCTGATTCATGGTAAGGGCTCAAACCACTAGGAGACTCTATAAAACAGTAGAAAAACAAAGGGCTCAAACCACTAGGAGACTCTATAAAACAGTAGAAAAACAAATCAGAGAAAACCTTCTGTGAGATAATTTTAGTCCTTTGGATGCAAGGTCAGAGCACAGCCAATTAAACAATTGAGAGCTTTCCTGTGCTAAGAAGCTGTGAAAGGGTTTCATGCTTTGGGATAGTAAAAGCCAAACCCTAACAAATAAAAGTACCTCCTAAAATAATTTGTTAAACATAGGATTAATTCCAAATGTGCCTTTGCCCATCTGTGCCTACTTTCTTTCTGGTTTTCTCTCCATAATGACTCTATGTTGCCATTTCATCTACACTTGATTATCTGAAGGCTAACCCAAATTAATTATTTTCTATAATCAAAGTATATTTTCCTGTCTAGGTTATCACAGACTTTTCCTAAATCTCTTATTCTGCCTTTGAACCACATGAAGCTGCCTTATACTGAAGCAGATCTCTGGTCCATCCACATCAGAACGGTACTCACTGACAGCAGAACTCCAGGGTCTTTGGTAGAGATCTTTCAAATCACCTGCTACCTGATCTCTTTAGCTACAGATGGCAAGGACTGAACATGGGACTTTCTGCATATGCTCTGCCTTTATTTTTCCTGCTGATCTTCTGATACTTTCAGTTTTATTCAGGTGGGTAGCCGTGTTGGTCTGAAGCAGCAGAACAAAGTTTGACTCCAGTGGCACCTTTAAGACCAACAAAGTTTTATTCTGGGTATAAGCTTTCATGTGCAAGCACACATCTTCAGATACAGTGAAACAGAATTTGCTCAACCATTACATATAGGCAGAGAGAGTGTGGGGAGGTTAGTTGCTTGCACACAAAAGCTTATACCTTGAATAAAACTTAGTTGGTCTTAAGATGCCACTGGACTCAAACTTTTCCCCTGATTTCTACCCCACCTTTTCCCACCAAATTCAAAGAAGTCTCCCATTTAAGTATTAGCCAGAATGTCTGCCTAGCTTCAGCAAAGCTATTGGATCATGCGCCCTGGGTTTAAGATTCCAGTCTTTTTGTGTCCACTTTTCCATACACATATCCCCCTCCTAAACAACAGAATTTCCCTGAAGTTTTCTTGGTGGCTTTCCCTTATCCCTTTGATCTTATTCCCACTGTGTTACAAGCACTAGAAGAAATGGCATCCTTTTGTCATCTTCTTTAGTCTTCTTCACATAACTTGGAAAAATGAATTACTATTAAATCAATTTAAATCTGAGAAATGTCTTATATTGTGTTGTCGTCTCTGTTCTATAACCTTCAAGCACACATATATCATATTAACAAGACACAGATGGCTCTTTCACATACCTTTTTCTGGAGCACTGCCTTGGGTAGTTTTCCGATCGCTCAACAGAGCCTTGGCATTTTGTATCTGTACCATAAGGCTAGAGGAAGGCTCTTTGTAGGAAGAAGGATTTTTCTCAGATTTCTTCAGGAGTGGGTGAAGATGCTCTTCTTTTATTTCTTGCTCTTTGACCTTTTTGTCCTTCAAACACACAAATGAAAACATGGGTTTTATTAGAAAGTCTTTCAAGAAGTTTTAAAAATGGTAGAAATAAACACTATTTTGTAGATGTCTTCAAAGACAGCAAGTACATCCTGAATGTTGTCTTTTGTTGATGTTATTTGTTACAAGAACACTATTTCAGGAGCTTTGTTTCAAGACCTGGTGTGACAGCATCAGATCAGTTGCTGCCAATTCCCTATAAACTTTTTTCTCTGCCACCACTGTGCCAACAGAAACTTGTCCAGCTCAATTGTTCAAAGTGGTTTGTGACTTGGAAACACCTGATTTCAACTCTGCTGGCAATGGAAATTAGGCCCCAAGTTGTAATGTTTTTGCAAGGTTCTTTGCTGATAAAATCACTCTTGTGTGAAGGCCAAGCTGAGTGCAGATCTGGTGCCCGAGGTGTCAGAATCGCCTGATTGGCCTTTTGTTAAGGAGAGTTTCAGACTGATCCTGCCTATGAATGCTGACAGGGTCCTTGGGAGTGTGAGGGCCACCACTTATGCTCTGAATCCATGCCCATCCTGACTTTTAAAATCTTGCTGGGAAAAGGTATTGGAGCTATTAGTGAATCACTTCTTCTCTAAGCCTCTGAAGGAAGTAGTTATTAGACCTTCATTCAAAAAACCTGCCTTGACTAGGGATGAGGTGGCCAATTACAGGCTAGTCTCCAATTTATCTTTTCTAGGGAAGGTGATAATAGTATGATGACAGAGCAATACCAGGGCCTCCTGCATGACACATCTGCCACTGACCCATTTCAGTCTCATTTCAGGCCTTGTTTTGGTACTGAGACGGCTTTGGTTGCATTGGTGGATGATCTTTGCTTAAAGTCCGACAGGGAAAAATCTTCCCTGTTGATACTGTCAGACCTCTCAGCAGCCTTTGACACAGTTGACCACTCCATTCTTATCCATCAGCTTGAATATGGAGTTGGTGTTAAAGGCTCTGGTGATTTCACTCTCTTCTGTGTGACCAGACACAGAGTTTCCACTGGAGGTGCAGAATCAACTGGGTGGAATTTATCTTGTGGAGTGCTACAAGATTCTATTCTTCCACTTAATACTTTTTAATATATAAATGAGTCGCTGAATAAGATTGTCCAGAGTTTGGGGGTTAGGTGCAATGTTCCCTCTAAGCTGTGAGCAAAAATTCTACTTGGTGAGCTCCTGGCATTAAAGTTGTGAGCGAGCGATTTGGCTACTGCGTAAATTAGTTTGCTCTGGAGCCTTTCTTCCTGAGTGGAAACAAAAATCTGTGAGCCAGAGGCTAAAAAACTGTGAGCTAGCTCACACTAACTCAGCTTAGAGGGAACAGTGGTTGAGTGTCATCAATATGGAGGTGACACCCAGCTCTATATTTCATTACACAAGCCTCCAGATGCATCCATCTTGGTTCTGAACTGGTGTTTTGAGGCTTTGGTCAGTGCCTAAGGCAGAACAAACTGACGCTGAATTCAGGCAAGACAGAGGTATTACTGGTTGGGAAGGCTAATATTCTAGAGGGACTGAACTCCAATTGTCCTAAATGGAATTACATTGATTTTTTTGGAGCAGGTTAAATAAGAGCTTCAGGATGCTCATGGACCCTGCCTTGCTCTTCGAAAAGCAGGTTGACTTGATGGCCAGAAGTGCCTTCTATCAACTGCATCTGACTTGCCAGCTCTCATTGCCTAGACTCAGGTGATCTGGCCATGCTGATCCATGCTTCGGTAACCTCACAGTTGGATGTGCTTCATGTGAGGCTGCCCCCAAAGACAACCCAGAAACTACAACTGGTCCATAATGTAGCCGTTTGACTTCTGTTAGGGGCTAACTGCCGGGCACATATGTTGCCGATTTTGAAATAGTTACATTGGCTGCAGATCTGTTTCCAAGTTCAGTTCAAGGTGCTAGTTATGACCTTTAAAGCCCTTCAGAATCTGGGACCCAGATATCTGAAGGACCGTAGCTGCATCCACAACAGTCACCCGACAGCCATCTATTGGCTATCTCAGCACTTAGGCTGGCCTGTCTGGCAATGACCAACGCCTGGGCCTTTTTTATCTTGGCTCCAGCTCTGTGGAATGGGCTCTCTAAAGAGTTGGGGGATCCGTCTCCTTAGAGATCTTCTGTACCAGGGCTTTTGAGGAAATCTGATTTGGCAGGCATTTTTAAGTGGGGAGGGAGAAGAGATTTGAGGTTTGTTGTTTTATTTTTTCTTTTAAATGGAAAATGTTTTAACTACCATTGTAAGCTGCCTTGAACCATGAAGAAAGACAGAACATAAATGTAAACTTACATTTATATTTATACGGGGGATATGAATAACCCCTCTGCAAAGTTAGGTCTGGGTTGATATAAACTGCAGAAGGGTGGGAAGAAGGGAGAACTGAACTCTTAACTCACACATCCCACAAAGCTGTTTCTTCCACTCTGGGCGTCTTCCCCTGGGAGGGAAAAACAGCTGGAGGAAAAAAGAGCTCAGCTCCAATATTCCCATAGGAATTAGACAAGACTCAGGTTGGGTCATGCCTTCATGACGTCTAGTTCTGCCTTTGTGAAGTATGAAAACAGGGATAGTTTCTTATATCTTTTACATTCAGACACAGATAGCCAAGTTCAGAACAATTTGAGTGTGTCACATGATCATGGTATTATGCATATGTGTTTGAAACGATTATGTCCATTGTGTGGTTCTCTCCCAATGAGTCAACTGCTATGGATACAGCTATTTCATCATATGCAAGGAACATCTCAGCAATATTATACTATTTGACTGCCTTACCACATAAAAGACTAACCTACAGAATTATTTGTTGATGTGCTCCTACTGAAGTAGCAAAAATCCTTCAATAAAAATTTTACATCTAAGAAAGATTTCCTAGTTACAGTTGAGTGGAAACCTCAAATCAGTCCATAAAAGACACACAGCAATGTCTAAAAATAGGAGCTGGGGTGGGTGGGGGGGGGTGTTGTAGGGAGAATACAGGCAATAGTTGTGTCCTTAGGGAGAATACAATGTGCCACACAGCAAATGTTTAAAAGGATCCATTAATTCATGATACTCAAATAATTACAATAAGTTTTAGAATGCTCCCAGTACATAAATAAATGATTAAATCAGGAATATGTGTTTACATATGCATAACACTGCTTAAGATGGGATATGAGCTGGAACAAATAACAGAATTCTGCAGCAACCTTTTATAAGAGAGTACCAGAAAAACATCTACTTCTGCTTCATTGACTATGCTAAAGCCTTTGACTGTGTGGATCACAACAAACTATGGCAGGTCCTTAAAGAGATGGGAGTACCAGACCACCTCACATGTCTCTTGAAAAACCTGTATAAGGGTCAAGAAGTGACACTTAGAACCAGATATGGAACAACTGATTATTCAATCCTCACCAACCTTGGCATGTAGGTAGAGGTGGGTTAGCCGGATATCCCTTGTGAGTTTGGTGTCTCTATCATGCTGAGGGGTGTTCTACCATGTCACAAACCTCACAAATGAAACTGGTTTATTTGTGATGTTTCATGGTTCATGAAGCTGGCATACCATGAACCATACCACATTTTCCCAGTTCATGCCCATCACTACTCAACACCAGTTCTCTAGGTGAAATCCATCTGGTTGTCCTCATGAATTACCCCTGCATTGACCCATGTGGATCTATAAGAACCAGATCATCACTGAGACAGTACCCTAAGACCACAATTGTACCTTTAAAGATTGACTACCTCTTTCAATAGTCTTTCAGTAGTCATGTATGGCTGCGAGAGTTGGACTATAAGGAAGGCCGAGCGCCGAAGAATAGATTCTTTTGAACTATGGTGCTGGAGAAGACTCTTGAGAGTCCCTTGGACTGCAAGAAGGTCAAATCAGTCAATCCTAAAAGAAATCAACCCTGACTGTTCCCTGGAAGGCCAGATAATGAAACTGAAGCTCAGATACTTTGGCCACCAAATGAGAAGGGAGCACTCACTGGAGAAGATCCTGATGCTGGGAAAGATTGAGGGTCAAAGAAGACGGGGACAGCAAAGGATGAGATGGTTAGACAGTGTCATAGATGCAACGAACATGAAATTGAGCAAACTTCAGAGGACGGCAGAAGACAGGAAGACCTGGCGTGATCTGGTCCATGGGGTCGTGAAGAGTCGGACTCGACTGTGCGACTGAACAAGATGCCTATAACATCCCATAAGGTGTCCTTTTGAAAAAAAAAAATGGACAAAGAAAGATCATGTCCCAAATGACATGATGTTTCAGTGATGATGGTGTAGTACTGATTAAATCAGGCTACAATGTGCATGCATAGGACAGTGGGTTGGATCCAGCACAAGATTTTTGCTTGCACTTGAGCTTTTGCAGAAGCAGAAATGGAAGAAAAAGTCTGTAGTAACCACTTGCACTAAGTCAAATTTATTGTATTTCCAATTGCATTTTCACTTGTACAATATCTTGTACAACCCATCTCCAGGTTCCAGGAAGTGAATTTAGCAATTTGTTCATTCTCAAAATGGCTCCTTGAGGTACAAGATGGGAAGGGAGGAGATTGTTTCAACTAGGATGGGAACTGAAAGGGTTGCACAAGATCTTGTGGTATGTCTTCCATAAGTGGAACTACATTAAGTAGATTTTTTTTCATTTGCATATAATTTGATCCGACCCACTGTATCCAGAATTTTGGAAGTTCAAAGTCAGTGCATTGACAGAGGAGCACAAAGAGGGTTTTACTGCCTCTAAGGATGACAGACCACTGCACAAAAATGCCCGTGCTGTTCTGACATATGGAAGGGTAGGGACACAGGAGATAAATGAAAAGGGGGAGGCAGATCCTGGGACTAAAATTAATATATTTTTTTAAAATAATAAATTTTATTACATTTCTTCTCAAAACACACCACCACCAATATCAAATAAAGGTTGATAAAAATACATAGTTTGTTGGCAGCATGTGGAGAAACATAAAAAAGCACTTAGACACATCAACAAA